TAATCATATCAAGTGTAACTTCGGTTCCTAAATCTAAAATTATGTAGGAAACCTTTAAGTTGTAAAGAAAGAGATTAATTGATAGGTAGATAGATATATAGATAATAATTTCTTCGAAATTCATTTCTTTCTTTTCCCGATTTATTTTACCTCTTCTTCATAATTGTCATCGTTATCAACATTATTGTCAAAATCGTCTACTTCCATTTGACTTTCTATGGGATCCATAATAAATATTTCTTGTCACGTGGAATATACAAGATCATCAAAAACAGCAGTGCTTCAATTAAATATATCTAATAATATTTTTTCAATTTTATTAATTATAATAAAAATTTTTTGATTTTTGATTTGATTTTTATAAAATAACAAATAATAATACGCAATAATTATTTCTATTATTTTATATGCTTATGTATATAAATATATATAACAACAGATGTAAAAAAATAAATTCTAAATTGTTATTTTTTTAAACATTATATATAATAATCAATTATTTACATGTACAAACGCAAAAAGAAACCCATTTAAAAAATAGCCAATAAAAAAGAATCACGTTTCAAAAATTACCATTTACGATATAATAATATTTACAAGTAAAGGAATGTATAAGAAAGTATGTCGAATTAATAAATCAAAAAATGGAAAAGGTTGTTAAAAAAAATATGATAATGAAAATATTAGAAGTTGATAATAATAATAAACGATACAAGTTTTTTTATTCTTTACCATCTAAACCTTTACCCGATATAAATAATTCACTATCTAGCGATTTTACTACTACTCCAACATCACCATCACTACTTCCACCACTACTTATATTACTGCATATACTACTGGTATATTCCTTTCCATTTCTTATTCTATTTTCATTATCAATAAATTAGAAATGCTGGATTAGTTATTAAAGACATTGCTTAATATAAATATTTGTAAATTTTATTATTTAATATATATACATACAATAAATAAATAAACATTTAATAAATAATTGAAATTGATAAATAAATAAAAAAATAATGATTTGAAAATTGCGACAGCGACAATTTTCCTCCTGAACAATCGCAGGAACTATTAATTAATTATTAACACCTTTTCGGGGCAACGATAAATACTCTGAACCATGATGAGAATCTACATTGTCGTGACCAGAACAAGAGCAATGGCAATTTTCATCACAACTACATCCTTGAATTGAAGGCAGTCATATATTATTATTATTTTTTTTATTTTTATTATTATTATTTTTATTTGATGGGGGAAAAAAAAAGAGAAGAGAGAATCGAGCGCCTTTAAATATTAAATTTCCTCGTCTCTTTACGTGCATATACTGAGCCAAACCTCATGTTTCTACATTTTATTTTATATATAGAACGAATCAAATAAAAAATTTTTTTTTGCCAAGGTTTAGAAGCAAATAGTTTTTATTTTTCTGATTAAAATAGTGCTTAGCAATATTTTTTAACGTCTTTTTGCATTTACACTTTTCGAGCAATCACTTACTTCTTGGCAAAATATCTCTTTCTTGAAAATTCTTTGTTATGCGAAACAGGAGTGCATACGTATGAGGTCCATACCAAACCTGTTCAAGCAAATACTATAATTATAATTGATTTATTTATTTAAAAAAATTAAAATTTACTAATAATTATGTCTTCAATTTTATAATTTTTCCGGTGTTGCACAATTCCCAATATTCTGAAGTGGCAG